AAGAAATATTTCCATATTTTAGTTTAGCGAGTTATTAAGTAAAGACTTTAATTAATTTCTTTGTATTTTTTTTTTTAAATTTTATTTATCTTAGAAAATCTGAATTCGCTCTACAATAAATTCAAATACAAGAATTACCAGAAAAATGATTGATTTTTGATAAATTAGATTTGCTATTACATATGGTAATTGAAAAAACAACAATAGATGATATCAAGAAATTGAACTTCCAACAAATAGTTACTTTCCATGAACATATCACAAAAAATCGAGTTTATTTTAGAAATTCAGTATCTCAATAAATCAACATTCTTATCAAATGTAACTTTCAGAATATTTTATGAATCATCAGATCAATTTATGCGCCAAATTACAGGTCGAAATTTGATTAGTTGATTGTTCTGTAAATACTTGAAAGTGAATCGAAAAATTTAGTAAAACAGTCATATCAAACATCGTGCATAGTTTCGTTCTTAAAGCTAATTAATTATCAAGATACCATTTTATGTTTGTTCTTTCATTCACTCTATCTAAAATAATTTTCTCTTCTATTTCGGATAATTTTTAACTCGCTCAAGTTTTCCGAAACTTAATTTAGGAGCCACTAAAAACTTGATTTTTTTTAGCTTTCAAATCATAATTTCTATAGCATTTTCAAACTCACATTCGATAAGTGCATCAAGTTTCTGATTCTAATACAAGTTTTTTCAATTTTGACTGATTATTTTTCGACTATCCATGAGTATTTGAAATGAAATTTGGCTTTTTTTCTTCAATTTCCAATTGAAGTTGCTGGTTATGATTACAGTTTCATAAGTGAAACATTTACTATTGTCAATGGATTGAGTGATAGAACCGGGTAAAGTCCTATTGGAATATTTGAACATTCACAAGATTTTTGTTATTCTTGTTAAGCTTTTCCCACATTAGCCAGAATTCTTTGAAAGATATTTTTGAGGTGTCATGTTTTTACATCATTAGATAAAAGTGGTATTCATCAATATGTAGAATCGGTAGTTGCTGTTTTAACACATATAAATGATTATCTATTTTTTAGTGGAATAATTGTGTATGCATTATGTTTACATGGTTTGAACATTCGTCAACGATTCAATCGACAATATAAATTTATGTGACATTCCTTGTTTGTTGTATTTTTTTTTTGTTTCGAGTCATATTTGTACACATAAAAATGCGAAATGTGCAGATAAGCAAAGAATAATGAATGTAATTTAAAAAAATATGCATTGCACCGTAATATTATTTTATTGCAAATAAATACGCTTTTCTTCTAGTCAAAACAAAATTGAATATAATATTAATACACATTGTTTTTGTTTTAGTTCATAATACATACAAAATGACATCATCAGAACAATTGAAAAAAATTACAGTTATTGGTTCTGGTAATTGGGGAACTACAATGTAAGTTTTATTCTCATATTTGATTGAAATTCAGTCTTTTTTGTTTTTTGCCTAAATAAAGTGCTATTCATATTGGTGAAAAAGTTCGTGAATTAAAAGATAAATATGATCAAAAACTTATGATGTGGTGTAAAGAAGAAACACTAGAAAATGGTAAAAAACTAACTGAAGTTATTAATGAACAACATGAAAATATTAAATATTTACCGCATGAAAGAATTCCTGATAATGTTGTTGCTGAACCGGATCTTTGTGCATCAGTTAAAGATGCCGATATACTTATATTTGTTATACCTCATCAATTTGTTAAAAAGACTTGCGCACAATTAAAAAATAAAATAAAACCTACTGCTTTTGCTGTAACATTAATTAAAGTAAGAAATAAAAAATTATAAGTTAATCGAAAAAATTTTCTTTTTTTATTTAGGGATTTTATCTTGATGAAGAAACCAAAGAACTTTTATTAGTTTCACAAGTAATTAAAAAAACATTAAACATTCATTGTCTTTGTCTAATGGGAGGTTTGTTAAATATGATTGTGAATTTTTTTTTTTCTAATTTAAATATTTTCTAGCTAATATTGCTCATGAAGTAGCTGAAAAAGTTTTTTGTGAAGCAACAGTCGGTTCACGTGATGATAATCATAGTGAAATCGTTCGAGAATTGATCGATACACCTAATTTTCGTTTACGTTTTTATCCTGATATTGAAATAATTGAAATTCTTGGTGGTTTAAAGAATGTCATAGCTATGTGTGCTGGTTTCGCCGATGGTTTAAATGTTGGTTTTAATACTCGAGCTGCTGTATGTTTGTTGATTTCTTTTTTTTTTTATTTATTCATTTGTAGAAGAAATGAAATACGTTTTTCTTATTTGCTTTTTTTTTCTCATTTCAAGGTACTTCGATTAGGTTTTCGAGAAATGATCAATTTTTGTCGTTTACATGAAAAAGAATCTACAGCAGAAGTTTATTTAGAATCATGTGGTTTTGCTGATTTAATTGCATCATCATTAGGTGGAAGAAATTATAATGGAGCAAAAAAATTAGCTGAAACAAATAAATCATTAAAAGAAATTGAAAAAGAAGATCTTAATGGACAGTCATTACAAGGTCCTGGAACTGCTAAAGAAGTTTATCGTCTACTTGAAGAAAAAAATTTATTAGATCAATTTCCTATATTTCGTGATGCTTATCTTATTTGTGAACAAAAAATTGAACCAAAAAAATTAATAGAAAATTTACCTAATCATCCAGAATTTAATCAAAAATAGAAGCCATCATATACAATATTTACTGTTTTATATAATTATAATCGAAAAGACTTTCTTTTATAATTTACTCTCATTAAAAGATTTGTCGTGTAATTTAATCAAGCTTTTTTTTTAAATACACTAGCACGTAACTAGTTACCAATAAAAGCCATTCATACTTTTACTCGTACATCGGTATTATAAATTAGTAAGATATGTTGTAGAACTTATTTAGCTAGTTAATTTTGTAGAAAAAAATATTTCTGCATCGTTTGAGACGTCTTCAGACCCAAACAAAAGTGCGAAATACTAAAGGCGTATAAAAAGACCGTTTTTTTCTAAATCAAGTGCTGAGTAGTGTATAATTTGTATACATCGGATGTTTTCATAGGAAAGTCGGAAAGAGCTACCTTTTTGGATTTGAAGTAATCTAGTGATTCGCTACCGTTTGAAATAATTAAATTGAAGATCAAAATTCTAAAGGCGGCGATCTGCTTGATAAGCACCGTGACAGATGCTATCTTACACATTGTATGTTTCGCCCTATAGGGACGAAAGAAAAAAAGTGCTTAATTTTTGAAGGAAGTGCTATGCACTCAAATCCTTGAAGGGTTTTTTATTAGAGCACTAGATAGTATCTATAGACACAAATTCATTGAAATTCTAGAAGGTCACCTGGGTAGATTCCCTTGTTACCTATCATTTGAAAAATGTCTGATCGAAAAAGTCTCCTACATTCCAAAGTATACAACAATTTATAGAGAAAGACAAAAATATTTGTTTTCTAATACCGATACCCATATCCACACCTACACTCCTATAATTGAATACACACCCTCACCCTCGACAGGTATTGCATGCCACTAGGTTAATTAATAAATGGCATACATATGAAAACATCAGTCATATATATATCACTACATTTCATGATATTATTATTGTGAATGCTTGCGAGAAAAACATTCTAATATACTATATTAAGGAGAAAATTAGAGGATGGAAGAAAAAAAAAGATAACTTCGCATACAGCCGAGCAGCTAATATATTATGTGTGATGCGGCATGGATTCAACTTCTTGAGATTTTGATGGAGATGAAGCAGTTGAGTGGACTGATTCCGAATATACATCTTTGTTTCCTTCTGGAACTAATCCTTCAAAATTCCATTACCATGATATGATTGTTTATAGTTTGTTAGCGCCAACAGATGGCGCACATCGCCACAAAATATTGAATTATATATTATTGATTGTTTGATCCTCTCTTCATCTTGTTTTTTCAAGCATTACTAAGTCATGATTGATTTTCGATGCAAGTATTTTTATGGTGTTTTGCTTCCTTTTCTTTTGTTTTTTTTTGTTGTTGATCTGCAACCTAATCATTACTTTGTTATTATCCATATTGCCATTATTATTTTCTATTACTCTCGGTTTTATTTTTCTAAAAATAAAACAAGTCATAGCAAATCATGATTGACTTTTCTTTCATTACAGAGTATTTTCATTATTGAGTAGATGTGTAAACATTGTTTTTACACAGTGAGCTATTATATGGATCATAGATTTTTGATTGTGGCTCTGTATATATTTTTCTTTCTGTTATCCGGTAACGATTGCAAAGACAGTGACGAAACTTCAACCAAAACTCAACTTCCATTTAAATTAACTTATATTCATAACGCACAAGTAAGAAAGTTGTCTTAAATCAGAAATAAACTTTACTAGTTTTTTTTCTTAGCCTCTTTGGGAATTAGGGATGTCACTTTCGCGTTTTCTTCCTTGTAGTATGAAATGAGTAACACTCTAACATAAAAAGAGAATAGAACATGTGTAGAACTTTTAACATGACGAAACTTTACTGGGTTATGTAATATCGAATGTGTTGATCTTCCATGAAATACTGGATGATGTAAATGAATTACAAAGTAATTCAGAAAAAAATCAACTCTCGTAAGATTCAGAAATCAGATTCCAAGAAAACAGGGATGCCAGGAATTTAATGAATCATCAGAGACTAGATTGAATAAATGGGTAATTCAAGTGCATTAACAGGAATTTCTCCACGATCTTCTGTGAGATGAGCTCTAGAATGAAAATGCATACAATATCCCAATTGCAACTAATGCCACGAAAGACGGACACACAGCATGATACCTGATGAGGGTGCCGTGAAAAGATGTAGAGTTTCGAAAATACGTGGGGTTATACATGATTCAATCGTGAGAATTGCTTTCCGGGAAGGTTGGGGTGCTGAACATTTAGTTAGCGTAGGTACCCATTCATGAAAAGAATTCACCCTGAAATCGCTGCTAATTGAGTCAAATCCAAAGTAATTAGTTCAGGTTCCTGATTATCCTCCGAATTCCTAGCGATTGATAATCTTAGTTTCGACATAGACGATAATGGATGTTTTTAAATTACCTAGTAATTCATTTACTCCATAGAATGACGTGAAATGAAAAGATGAAACAGGAACGCTGCGATCTCTATTGACTTCAATACGATATTTGATTCGAAACTATTGTGAACATTCTGAAGAAGAAACGTTCATAGATATTCATCTTATCGAAGGCTGAATGTCAGAAATTTTGCTTTTCAATATCTTTGTTCGAAAAGCTGTCTTGTTAAAATTTACTTATCAAAGGTAGCTGATAATATAATACTGTTTTTTTGTGGAATTCACATATGTTTTCGAAGAAAATAATGAGTGTAAGTTTTGAATTCGGGTTTTTTAATCCCTCCTCTTCATTATAGACACCCAACAGATATATCATATAGGTAATTAAGAACAGTTTCTTTTGAATACTTAACTTAAACAATAACTTCAATATGTTGGAAATCAACGAAAAGAAACTCTTAATACTTTCTGTAATACTATTAAGTATTGATAAGAAAAAAAGCTTGAGTCCGCTCAACCTTGGTTTACATTGTTTGACTTTTACAGGTGACACACATTTTGCAATTGAAAAAATTAAAAGCTGAAGATTCTCTATTCAGCAACTAAATGATGTGGACTATATGAGTTCTACATTTTAGCTCAATAGGGACTAAACTAATAAGCCTTTCTCATAATATATATAACATTTGATATTCTGCGGTTCTGAATTTGTTGAAGTTATTTTTGCGTCATTATTAATATAAAATGACTTCGACACGTATCACTGCATAGATTGTTTAGGTAATTTATCCTTCTCTTGTCGATGTCAATTCTTATGCTCTCGCAACCGTTCCATTGGACACTGTCTACATTGCTAAAAGTTCTCTTCCGAACGCTGTAAGTGACATATAAAAAAAACAGTATTGCACAAGCAAAAATGAATAATTTATTTTCATAAGGGTCTAGGAGCATTTGCTGCTCGTCCCATCGCACGTCTCAGTTATTTTGGTCCTTACGGTGGCTATAAACACAACAATGACCTTATTCATGAAGCAAGCGGCTATGCTTGGAGAGTAAGAATGGAAACAGCTTGATACATCATCTTTTATCTTTGTATAGGTGCCAGATAAGTCGGGTAATGTAATGTATTATGTCGATGCATCTGAGCCCTACAACTCGAATTGGCTTCGATTTATTAATTGTCCAAACACGTTTAGTCAACAAAATCTCATTGGATTCGTGCGTAAGATGATATTCGTACATAATTTTCGATGAAACTACTTATATAAAGTTCTTTGTATAGATCATGGTGACATTTTCTACCTAGCAGTTCGAAATATCGATGTCGGAGAGGAACTTTTAGTTTATTATGGGGATAGTTACGGCAGAAAGCTTGGTATTGATACGACGCAGTTCCCTTAGGTTGTATTTGAGACCATGGCGCAGTCAAACAAACGTCAGAAAAATTTATACTTACTGGAACCAAAAAGACTAGTATTCTGAGCTATATTTTTGATTAAAAGAAGAAAGTATTTTTTATGCTTCTCTCAAAGTAAGTTGTAAATGTGGTTGTGATGATGTCAGAGTGTATGTAAATCAATAAATAAACACATCGACCTATCTCATGAGGAAAAGACGAATATAATCTGTCAGTCTCACATCATGCTTTTCAGCAATCGACGTAATCATGAAATCAAACTATAATAGAATAATAATGATAAATGAATATACTTTGATTAAAACTATGAAAAATAAATGTAGAGTTAATTTTTCAGAAGCGTTTTCTATTATTTATTGAAATATTGAAAAACATATCCGGTCTCTGCCTTAAAAGAAAAAGCATAAATAAAAAACAAAAAGTAAACAAGCAACAAAAACAAATGGAAAAAGGAAGTTGAATAACTAAGAGGCTGAGTCATTAATAATTTGTTGGTAAGGGTGTGGGATAGGTGTAGGTGTGTCGATGAACTTGAAAACGGAAAATATGAATACTCAGATCCACACTTACATTCACTCTATTATTGTGCATTATTAATCAAGAGATATCTGATGAAAAATCAGATAATGACATATGATGTACATATACTGGAGATCTGGTTGCCATCCACATAGGAGTAAGAAAATGAGGCTTTTTTTTTTAGTTTTCATATTAGTGAAAGTAAATCTTTTGTTTATATATAAATGAACAGCAAGAAAAATATAAACTAATGTATCGATTTCTTCTTCGGCGATGTCTCTATTGTCTTGTAAATTACTTGTATCGAACATTTGTCAAATGCCATTGTTTATAACATATTCGATTATTGTGATGATTGTGTTATTTTCGATATATTCTCAATTCTTAATATACGTTTTAAACATTTAGTTCTTTATTTGATTATTACTAATTAAAATTTATCAAACCATATCGACAAATCAATTATGCTGTTTTCTATTGTAGGGTGTTCTTATAACTTATAATATCATGTACATGTACAACTTTTATACGATTATCTATGATCATGAAACATCATCTTACAATAGAGTAAGTTTCTATATGATCTTGTGAGAGCCGTACGTAGAAAATCCTATTCAATCTGACTTCGGATTTTTGAAATTTATACATTTAAATGTTATTACGTAGTCATCATTATTATTGAATACTAGAAAAACAAAAATGTCTTTCTTCAATGCTTGATCATAAATAAATTATTTAAAAAAAAATATATTCTTTGAAAATATTCATTAGCTTTTCTTCAGTATCTATCTATTTATAATCGATGAATAAAATTCTCATGTAATTTTCATACTTACATATTTTTGTTAGACATGAATATATATATATATATATATACATATATACATAAATCATTTTTTACGTGCAAGGTAAATATTATTTCAAACAAACTTATATATTTCATTATATCCTATGATGGACTAATCAGCGTGTATGTTGTCTGCTATCATCTATCATTGATCTCACCGAACATACGTAATCTACATTCTTCTTTTTGATATCTTTCATCAGATTCATTTCAACAGCGTGATATCCGCTAGCAAAATAGTCGATCAATGATAAGAGGAAATAACATCCTTGTTGTTTCTTCATTGAAAAACCATGTCCTCAGAATGAATGTCTTTGTTTTTAAACTTATCGGTCTCAAACACATAAATTCTAGCAGTTCATACCCACGACTAAGTAGGAGAAAAGCTTGGTAATAATGAGAACGATATGCATTTTATTATGATTTCTCGATTCTTCTCTTTCTTTTGATGACGATGCATTCGTTTCGTTATTGGTATTTGATACAGACTCTTATCTTGTGCACTCTTGAAATGAAAGATAAGAAATTCTGTAGTAACAAATCGCACACACACTCATATAATAATCGACCAAAAAAACTGTCAACAAAAAGAAGAATTAAACCCTGTCTAAAGAGACGAACGATTTTCTTCACATCTTTTGCGTTCGACAAGTATTCATTTATTCATTGCTCTAACTTATTGTCATTCAATCACGACTATTTGTTTATAACTTACATTATGGATGAAAAGAAGGTAATATCCACATTCATCTACCATAGGGACGATATAAAAAGCGTTCACTTAGCAGATCTTTGCTCGAAATTCAATAGAATGTTTTAGTGTCATAGTTTTTGAAAAATTATGGAATTTTTCTTGCAAACGTTTGATGCTAACCAATGAATCCTCATTTTTTCACTGTGTCATTATAATGGATTGTATGATCTGAGTATCAGCATGAGTGGAATCAATACTCATATTTAAACTCACGCCCAGCCAGACTACCTATTTCAGTACTAACAAAACACAAGAATTGATAATTGAGATAGAAAAATAGTCGTCAAAGAAAATTTTCGTTTAAATAAAGAAGCTTCGTACTAGAATACAGGGTGTCCCATAAGTAACAAGACAAGGAAAAAAAGTTTGAATATCTCCATTAGGGCTCGACCAAATGGGCTCAATTTTTTATCAAAGATAGAGGTATCTGCACACCAGAGATGTCCATCGCGGCTGAAAATCTGCCGCTGCCGCGCCGCGGCCTTAGAAAAAAAAAGCTGCCGCACCGCAGCCGCGCCGCGACGGTTTATAAAAAAATGTTGCCGCGACGCTGCCGCGACGCGATGGCTTATAAAAAAAACGTTGCCGCGCCGCTGCCGCGATGAATTATAAAATAAATGTGCCGCCGCCGCGCCGCTGCCGCGGCGGTTTACAAAAAAGTGTTTCTAATTTCACTGCTGCGACTATATTTGACCAGAGATATTGGTACTAGACCATCAGATTCATTCAGTCTCGGGGTGTTTCATTTGTAAACCCTGAAATTCTATTAAATTCATGCAGTTTTTCAATGTTCCCCAAAAAAATCCTGCCGCTGCCGCGCCGCTGCCGCGCCGCTGCCGCGATGGTCTTTTAAAAAACCTGCCGCTACCGCGCCGCTGCCGCGATGATTTTTAAAAAATCTACCGCTACCGCGCCGCTGCCGCGGTGATTTTTTAAAAAACCTGCCGCTGCCGCTGCCGCCACAGGCCATCGCGGCAGCGCCGCGGCAGCGCCGCGGCAGCGCCGCGATGGACATCTCTGCTGCACACTCCAAATCCATACGAACAAGGTGAATGAGAACCTTTGTTAAGTATCACTATTGACCTCAACAATAAAATTTTTACTTTTTCACAGACAGGAAAATAAAAAAATATACTTAACAAAGGTCCTCACTAAGCTTGTCTGTATGGATTTGAAGTATAAGCATGCCTCTATTTTTGGTAAAAAAATCAGCTCGGTTGCTCGAGCCGTAATGGAAATATTTAATTTTCTTTTCGATAAAGTGACTTTTACACTATCCTGTATATTGGTTTTTTCTTACCAGTGACAAAGCAAAAATTTTATTGTTGAGGTCAATAGTGATACTTAACAAAGGTTCTCATTCACCTTGTTCCTATGGATTTGGAGTGTGCAGATGCCTCTATCTTTGATAAAAAATTGAGCCCATTTGGTCGAGCCCTAATGGAGATATTCAAAATTTTTTTCCTTGTCTTGTTACTTATGGGACACCCTGTAGCATTCATTCATTTGTGTTTTCAGGTTGCCTATAAATCACACATATAATTTGTTCACATTACATATAATCAATTAATCAATCAATATGGGTTGTAGTGCATCTGAAGTATCAAATTCTCTCAGTCAAAATCCCCAATATACAGTAACACCATTATCATCATCTTCTACTTTGAATCAGCAACCAAATTCAAATCGTCGTCCGAAAAGAGATTATCGAATTGATACAAATGAAATTATTCAAAATTTTCTTTTGATTTGGCTTGACGAAAACATCGATGAATCCAGCGACGATTATCTCAATTCTATCGAACAACTACGACGAACGATTAATACCATTGAAATATTTCATGATACAAATGAATGTATTGATTACATGTCACAAGTTCAAAACGAAAAGTCGTTCCTCATTATTTCGGGTGCTCTATGTGAAAGTGTTGTGTCACGTATTCATGACACCATACAACTACATTCTATTTATGTCTTTTGTCAAAAACAAGAAAAATATGAAGAATGGGCAAAAAATTGGTCTAAAGTAAAAGGTATTTTCACCGAAATTACCTCAGTTTGCGACGCAGTTCGACAATCTGCTCGACAATGTGACCAAGATGATATTGGAATTACTGGTGTATCGTCATTGAACCAAATCGAACCATCATTTATGTATACACAGCTCTTGAAAGAAATTATTCTTGAAATCGATTTCGATGAACAGAAAGAAATTAAAGATCTCGTCGAGTATGCTCGTAACGAAAAGGAGTATGTTAACAACAAAGAAGAATTGAAAATGATCGATGAATTTGCTACCGACTATCAAAAAAATGTCGACAAGAACAAGGCCATTCGGTGGTATAGTCGGCAATGTTTTACATATCAATTAGTCAACAAAGCTTTACGCTCTCTACATGTGCATACTCTCCTCAAAATGGGCTTTTTCATCCGTGACATTCATCAAAACATCGAGAAACTCCATGTAGAACAATCGAAAATAATCCATGAATCTACTACTACAAAACTTTCCGTCTTTCGAGGTCAAACTATGAGC